AGCAAAACGAGTCAAAAGGAGACAAAACAAAAGACGTAGAAAAAAAGAGACAAAAGGAGACAAAAAAAGGAGACAAAAAAAGGAGACAAAAGGAGACAAAAAAACAAAAGGAGACAAACCTTGGATATTCCTGCAGTCTGTGCCCACTGGTGCAGCAGCAGCGGGTTAAAGAGACAGCTGCCGTGACCATTGGTCTCAAAGTAAACAGCAGCAGCAAACCGCAGCGCCTCGCGATGAAGGTTCTTTACGCCTGTCTTCGTGCAGCAGAGCTCCAGCTGACACACATAAACCCTAAACCCTAAACCCTAAACCCTNTAAACCCTAAACCCTAAACCCTAAACCCTGAAGTATATAGATTTTATAAGGATTCGGATTATACCATATATTACGGTTTTCGCTGGGGTGTTTATTTAGGGTTTTTGTTAGGGTTTATAAGGGTCTATGAGGGTTTATGAGGGTTTAAAAGGGATTAAAAGGGTTTAGGGTTTATAAGGGTTTAGGGTTTGTACTAGAGTTTATAAGGGTTTATAAGGGTTTATAAGGGTTTATAAGGGTTTATAATCGTCTATAAGGGTTTACAAGGGTTTAGGGTTTGTACTAGAGTGCATAAGGGTTTAAAAGGGTTTATGGGGGTTTAGGGTTTGGGGTTTAGGGTTTGTACTAGAGCTTATAAGGGTTCATAAGGGTTTAAAAGGGTGTATGAGGGTTTAGGGTTTAGGGTTTATAAGGGTTTCTAAGGTTTAGGGTTTGTACTAGAGTGTATAAGCGTCTATAAGGGTTTACGAGGGTTTAGGGTTTAGGGTTTGTACGAGAGTTTCTAAGGGTCTATAAGGGTTGAAAAGGGTTTATGAGGGTTTAGGGTTTAGGGTTTAGGGTTTGACCTGTATGATGGGGTGTTTGTAGGTGGCGAGGGTTTGTGCGAGGGTTTGGAGAAAGTTGGTGCTGCCCCCGTTTGCATAGGCTGTCTGTACAACCCCCAGCTTGAGAGGAGCCAAAGGAGACAGCTGCAGCTCGCCTGTCTCCTCCTGCAGCAGCACCAGCAGCACCAGCAGCAGCAGCAGCAGCAGCAGCAGCAGGGGGGGGGGCTGTGGGAGCAGTGGGAGAGGCAGAGGCAGCGAGGAGACAAAGAAAGAAAGAAAAAAAAAAGAAAGAGACAGCAGAAAGGAGACAGAAAAAAAAAGAAAATAGAGACAGAATATAAGAGAAAGACAGCAAGAAGAACACTGATTATTATAATAGGAGACAGAAAGAGACAGAAAGAGACAGAAGGAGACAGAGACAGAAGGAGGCAGAGATAGGAAACAGAAGGAGGCAGGAGACAGAAGAAAAGGAGACAGAAGGAGACAAAAGGAGACAGAAGGAAGCAAAAGGAGACAGAAGAAGAGGAGACAAAATGAGACAGAAAAAGGAGACAAAGTGAGACAAAAGGAGACAAAAGGAGACAAAAGGAGACAGTTGGAGACAGAAAAAGGAGACAAAAGGAGACATAAGAAAAGGAGACATAAGAAAAGGAGACAGAAGAAAAGGAGACAGAAGAAAAGGAGACAGAAGAAAAGGAGACAGTTGGAGACCGTTGGAGACAGTTGGAGACAGTTGGAGACAGTTGGAGACAGTTGGAGACAGAAAAAGGAGACAGTTGGAGACAAAAAGAGACAAAAGGAGACAAAAGGAGACAGTTGGAGACAGTTGGAGACAGACGGCGTATTCTGCTGCCGTTTTGATGAGCTTAGCGAGGAGCAGCACAAAGAGACAGGCTATCCTGTCTCCATCAACAACAGCAACTGTCTCCTTTTTTTCTTTTTCTTTTTCTCTCTCTTCTCTCTCTTCTCTCTCTCTTTCTTTTTCTTTA